CTTTTTTAACTTGATGTGACCCCATTTGTCCATTTTTGCTTTGGTTGCCTGTGCTTGTTGGGTGTGGCCCAAGTAATTTTTGCTCTGACCAATGTCCTGGAGATTCTTCCCAATGTTCTCTTGTAGTATATTAGTTTCATTGAGGTCTTAGATTTAAGTCTTTACTCCATGTTGATTTGATTTTTGTATATGGTGAGAGGTAGGGGTCTAGGTGCATTATTCTGTATGTGTATATCCAGTTTTCCCAGAACCATTTGTTGAAGAGAAGTCTTTTGTTCAATGTATGTTCTTGGCACATTTATGAAAAATGAGTTCACTGTAAGTGTGTGGATTTGTTTCTGGGTTCTCTATTCTGTTCCAGTGGTCTATATGTCTTTTTTTATGCCAGTGCCATGGTGTTTTGGTTATATAGTTCTGTAGTGTAATTTGAAGTCAAGTATTTGATTATATAGTTCTGTAGTATAATTTGAAGTCAGGCAATGTGATTCCTCCAGCTTTGTTCTTTTTGCTCAGAATAGCTTTGGCTATTCTGGGTCTTTTGTGGCTCCACATAAATTTTAGGATTATTTCTCCTATTTCTGTGAAGAATGTCATTCATATTTTGACAGGGAGTGCAATGAATCTGTAAATTGCTTTGGATAGTATGGACATTTAAACAATATTAATTCTTCCAATCCATGAACATGGAATCTCTTTCCATTTTTTGGTGTCCTCTTCAATTTCTTTCTTCAGTGTTCTATCACTTTCATCATAAAGGTCTTTCACTTCTTTGGTTAGGTTAATTTCTAGATATTTAATTTTATTTGTGGCTATTGTATATAGGACCGCTTTTTAAATGTCCTTTCCAAATGGTTCACTGTTGACATACAGAAATGCTACTGATTTTTGTATATTGATTTCGTATCCTGCAACTTTACTGAATTTGTCAATTCTTATAGTTTTTTGTGGAGTCTTTAGTATTTTCCAAATAAAATGTATCATCTGCAAACACAAGGATAATTTTACTTCTTCTATCCCAATTTGGATTTCTTTTTACATTCCCTTTATTTCTTTCTCTTCTATGGTGGCTCTAGCTAGGACTTCCAGTACTATGTTGAATAGCAGTGGTAAAAGTGGACATTTTCACTGTGTTCTAGATTGCAGAGGAAAGCTTTTCAGATTTTCCCCATTCAGTTTGGTACTGACTGTGGGTCTGTCAAATATGGTTTTTATTATGTTGAGGTGTGTTACTTCTATACCCAGTTTCGTTAGGGTGTTTACCATGAAGGGATGTTGCATTTTATCAAATGCTTTGTAGCATCAACTGAAATGATCTTATGGCTTTTATCCTTTATTGTGTTGATATAATGTATCGCATTGATTGATTTGCAAATATTGAACCATTCCTGCATCCCAGAGGAATTTTCAGAGGTATATCCCACTTGTCATGATGAATGATCTTTCCTACATATTGTTGAATTCAGTTTTCTAGTATCTTGTTGAGGATTTTTGCATCAATATTTATCAGATATACTGGCTTTTTTTTGTTTGTTTGTTTTTGTTTTGCTTTGTTTTTTTTGAGACTGAGTCTCACTCTGTCACCCAGGCTGGAATGCAGTGGCGTGATCTCAGCTCACTGCAACCTCTGCCTCCCAGGTTCAAGTGATTCTCCTCTCTTGGCCTCATGAGTAGCTGAAATTACAGGCACCTGGCACCACACCCAACTAATTTTCATATTTTTAGTAGAGACGGGGTTTCACCATACTGGCTAGGCTGGTCTTGAACTCCTGACCTCCAGTAAACCACCCACCTCTGCCTCCCAAAGTGCTGAGATTACAGGAGTGAGCCACCACTTCCAGCCTATGTGTGTCTTTACGGGAGAAGAGTGTTTCTTGTAGGTAACAGATCAATGGGTCTTTTTATTTTATTTTATTTTATTTTATTTTATTTTATTTTATTTTATTTTATTTATTTTTGAGATGGAGTCTTGCTCTGTCACCAGGCTGGAGTGCCCTGGTGCCATCTTGGCTCATTGCAACCTCTGCCTCCCGGATTCAAGCTATTCTCCTGCCTCAGCCTCTTGAGTAGCTGGGACTACAGGTGCACACCATCACACCCTGCTAATTTTTGTATTTTTAGTAGAGACAGGATTTCACCATGTTTGCCAGGATGGTCTCTATCTCTTGACCTCGTGATCCACCTGCCTTGGCCTCCCAAAGTGCTGGGATTACAGGCATGAACCACCACACCTGGCTGGGTCTTGTTTTTTCATCCATTCATCCACTCTGTCTTTTGATTGAAAAGTTTAGTCTGCTGACACTCAACGTTATTATTGATAAGTAAGGACTTACTCCTGCCATTTTGTTATTTTTTTTTCTGGTTGTTTTGGGTCTTCTCTTCCTTCTTTCCTTCCTGTCTTCCATTAGTGAAGGTAATTTTCTCTGGTGATATGATTTAGTTTCTTGCTTTTTATTTTTCATGTATCCATTGTTATGTCTTTTGGTTTGAGGTTACCATGAGGCTTGTAAATACTATTTTACAACCCATTATTTTAATCTTATAATAATACTGTTTTCATAAACAAGTAAAAAGAAAACTAATAAAAACTCTATAACTTAACTTTGTCTCCCTATTTTTTAACTTTTTGTTATTTCTATTTATATCTTATTATGCCATTTATGTCTTGAAAAGTTGTAGTTAATATTTTTGATTGGCTCATAGTTTAGTCTCTCTACTTAGAATAAGAGTAGTTTATACATCATAGTTACCGTGTTATAACATTTTGCATTTTTCTGTGAACCTAATGTTACCAGTGAGTTTTATATCTTAAAGTTGTTACTTACTGCTTATTAATATCCTTTCTGATTGAAGTACTCCCTTTAGCATTTCTTCTAGGACAGGTCTGGTGTTGATGAAATCCCTCAGCTTTTGTTTGTGTGGAAAAGTCATTATTTCTCCTTCACTTTGAAAGATATTTTCACCGGATACACTGTTTCAGGGTAAATGTTTTTTTCCTTCAGCGCTTTCAATATGTCATGCCACTCTCTCCTGGCCTGAACTGTTTCTACTGAAGAGTCTGCTGCCAGATATATTGTAGCTCCATTGTATATTATTGGTTTCTTTTCTCTTGCTGCTTTTAAGATCCTTTCTTTATCCTTGATCTTTGGGACTGTGATTATTAAATTCCTTGAGGTCGTCTTCCAGCTACATCTGCTTGGTGTTTTATAACTTCCTGCTACTTGGGTATTTGTATCTTTCTGTGGGTTTGGGAAGTTCTGTTACTATCCCTTTGAATAAACTTTCTACACTTCCCATCTCTTTAAGGCCAATACCACTTTGATTTGTCCTTTTGAGGCTATTTTCTTGATCCTGAAGGCATGTGTCATTGTTTTTTATTCTTTCCTTTGTCTGCTCTATGTATTTTGAAATAGCCTGTCTTCAAGCTCATTAATTCTGTCTTCTGCTTGATCAATTCTGCTATTAAAAGGCTCTAATGCATTCCTTGGTGTGCCAATTACATTTTTTAGCTCCAGAATTTCTGCTTGATTCTTTTAAATTATTTCAATCTCTTTGTTAAACTTATCTAAATAGAATTATGAATTCCTTCTCTGTGTTGTCTTGAATTTCTTTGAGTTTCCTCAACACAGCTATTTTGATTTCTTTGTCTAAAAGGTCACATATCTCTGTTTCTACAGGATTGGACCCTGGTGTCTTATTTAGTTCATTTGGTGTGGTCATGTTTTCCTGGATAATGTTGATGTGAGCAGATGTTCTTTGGTGTCTGGGCATTGAAGAGTTAGGTATTTATTGTAGTTTTCACTGTATATTGTAGTTTTCACTGTCAGAGCTTGTTTGTACCCATCTATTTTGGGAAGGCTTTCCAGTGATCTAAGCTGTATCTGCTTTAGGGGACACCCCAAGCCTCCTAAACTCTGTGGTTCTTGCAGACTCACAGTGGTACTGCCTTAATGGTCTTGGACAAGATCCAGGACAATTCTCTGTGTTACCAAAAAGAGACTCTTGTTCTCTTCCCTTACTTTCTCCCAAACAAACAGAGTCTCTCTCTCTCTGTTCTGAGGCACCTAAAGCTTGGGGTTGAGTCACATGGGCACCCCTGTGGCCACCATTACTGTGACTTCACTAGGTCAGACCTGAGGCCAGCACAGCACTGGGTCTTGCCCAAGACCTGCTGTAGCCACTCCTTAGCTATTGCATAAGTTTCCTGAAGGCCCTGGGGCTCTACAATCATCACATGGAAAACAGCCAGGCCTGTGTCCTTCCCTTCAGGATGGCAAGTTCTCCCAGCCTCTGGGTGGATCCAAAGGTGCTGTGTCTGGGAATCAGGGCCTAGATCAAAAACTTTAAAAGTCTACCTAGTGTTTTATTGTGCTATGGCTGAGCTGTCACTCAAACCACAAGATGCAGTCCCTCCCACTCTTTCCACCCCTCTCCAAAGGCAGAGGAGCATCAATCCGTGGCCACCTCAAACACAGGCCATGGTGGGTACTGCCAGACTACCGCCGATGTTCTTATAAGGCCCAAAGGCTCTTAAGTCAGTTTGTGGTGAATGCTCCTGTTAATTATTTTAAAATGCTTCTTTTTTGTTTTTTGTTTGTTTGTTTAGTTGGTTGGTTTTTTGAGATGGAGTCTTGCCCTGTCACCCAGGCTAGAGTGCAATGGTGTGATCTCAGCTCAATGCAACTTCTGCCTCCCAGGCTCAAACGATTTTCCTGCCTCAGCCTCCCAAGCAGGTGGGATTACAGGCACCCACCACCACACCCAGCTAATTTTTCCATTTTTAGTAGAGACGCGGTTTCACCATGTTGGTCAGGATTGTCTTGAACTCCTGACCTTGGGGTCCTCCCACCTCAGCCTCCCACAGTGCTTCTTATAAAAGTACAAAATAGCATAATGCATTATAAAAATAATCAAACTTACCCTTCGACAAATACTCGAAGAAGAACATCCATGAGAAAAAATAAGGCAATAGCTAGAGAAATAGAACGATACACCAAAGGAATATAAAGTTTGCTATCATTGAAAATTAGGTCGGCAAGGAGGAGAGTGACATGCAGTAAGACCAGGAAAACTCCAAATATTCTAAAATAAATAAATAAATAAATACAAAGATAAAGGGGCTTTTGTCCCTATAGCTATACTGTATTTAGGCCACTGATCAGGTGGCCAAAATGTTATTATTTAGTATTAAGCCGCCCAGTGTCAGGAAAAACTGTAATGCCTTAGAATCTCAGAAAGTCACTGTTTTCACCCAATAGAAGCAGTTCTTAATAAACAAAATTCTCACCAAACCACTTCACAAGATATTATCATGCCCTTTTATAGTAGAAACATCAGACCAACACCTCAAGAGAGAAAAGTAAAACTGAATTAAAATCACCTGTGTCTGTTTGTAAACTCTTCTTAAAATTTGAGAATTTTATAAGAAATTTATACCAATTTCTCATAAAAAATAAACCCTCAATCTGGATAATTCTAAAGAATTTATTAATAAAAACCAAATGAAAGCATGAGTAACATATGCTCATAAAAGACCAAGATT